TTTTTTACCTCAGTCCAGGTTCGAACAACCTACCTCCGGCTTTATAGCCCAACGCTCTACCATTGAACCATAATAAAATCGACAAACTTTGGCAAAAATAATCCCGGCCTTGACATTTGCCACGTTTTTCCTATAGCTGAACACTTATTGGGAAATTTGTGCCAGTATCCACACATTTTGTGTCTTCACAACTGTTTAAACCTCTAGATATAAGTATTTGAGAACGCCCCTTCCTACGGTAAATGTTTGTCGCTTTTCGTCACTACTATATCGATGTTGGACATTTTTTGGTAGCCATTCTTGCTAAGTGTTGGTACTGACTTATCTACTTTTAGTACTAGCGGTATAACGGAAATTCTTGAAAGATACTGCATTTTTTTATACCAAGGTGCCACTTGGTACAGTTGTTCCTTAGAGCCATTTAAACGATTTGACCCGAAGAACACTTGACATTTCCGTGTGGGTAGATTTTAGAGGGGTTGGGGGTGATTTATTGTAACATTTTTTAAAAAACTAAATACGGCCTAGAGACGAGATCTGGGGGTCGATTTCGTATAATTTTAACCCGAGGAATCCAATGGTAGCGCCAGAAATGTAATCCGGATACCGGAAGTCCGTGAAAAGCCGCCATTTTTAGAAAATGACAGACTTTTGATGGAATTATATTTCTAAGGCACACCGGGTCGTGTAAGGTATCTAGACTTATGTTTTTGGGGTCAGGGAATTCATTTATGATAACAAATATAACCTAAAATCTTCAAACGTGCGACGTCTTCAAAAAGTGCAGTAGGGAAGCCTCTCATGCAGTTCCGATGCCAGTAGGTTATTTTTGTTATCATAAATGAATTCCCTGACCCCAAAAACATAACTCTAGACACCTTACACGACCCGGTGTGCCTTAGAAATATAATTCCATCAAAAGTTTGTCATTTTCTCAAAATGGCGGCTTTTCACGGACTTCCTGTATCCGGATTACATTTCTGGCGCTACCATTGGATTCCTCGGGTTAAAATCATACGAAATCGACACCCAGATCTCGTCTCTAGGCCATATTTAGTTTTTAAAATAATGTTACAATAAATCACCCCCACCCCCTCTAAAATCTACCCACACGGAAAATGTCAGGTGTTCTTCGGGCCAAATCGTCTAAATGGTTCTAAGGAACAACTGTACCAAGTGGCACCTTGGTATAAGAAAATGCAGTATCTTTTGGTATACCGCTAGTACTATTTTGTTTCTTTCTTATCAAAGCAGTGCATAATTACTGAAATTAAGAACATTTATGAATTACTCAAATAGCACATATAGTCCAGTCAACCTGTGTCGGAAAACACCAGTTGAAGGAAAAAAATAGTATAAAGCTAATTTTTTCCCCATCGACTACTACCATTTAGACAAGTGTTTAGCCAAAAGTCCCCGCCCCTACCCCTCTTGCTTCCCCCTCTGTGCCCCCCTAAACATGAAAAGTGTAGGGGCTTGTATAGGTACAGCTAAAAAACGTGTTTTAAATAGTTTTTTGTTTGAAAATGCATGTAATATTTTGTTTATGTTATTTTAGAAGAAAATAATTGCGGTATCTTAATTTTAAGTAAAAAATATTTTCAGATTATTCACATTAAAAAATAAATTGGTGTTGACCATTTCCGAATTCCTAAACTTCCATGACAAGTTCTTCATTTTCATCGACTTCAACCAAAGTTACATTGCTGCATAATCCATCCCCAGTCCGTAGCGCTGATTTCCTTATCTCCATTATTCCATTTTTGAATTTGATAGATGCTCGATAAGCGTGTTGTTCAGCGGCTCCAGATGCCATGTTAAATTTGGATTTTAATGACATTTTTGCAACAGCTTTAAGTTACATTGAATATCTACTGTCATTCAGACATGCAGACCTTGTGCATCCATATAGTTTCAAGAATAAAGCCTCTCCTACCTCTTTGAGAATATTTGTGTCTGCCTGTTTTTCATAAAACTGTTAAGCTTTTGTGCGATCAATTGATGAACTTAGCAATTTGTACTCGTTGATTTTGCCTTTGCCGAATAAAGAAGACGTGGTATCACATCCTGTGATAACATGAAAAAATAATATCACATCCTTCATATCACCAATCTCTTCACGGGTCTTGCTGATGTCATAGGTTGATGGTGTGCCAGAGGGTTTGTGAAAAAATTGCCTTTTTTTCCAAATAACTATTAGTGTATTAGTTTAGTTTACTACAGTAGGCAATTATTCAAAATTTCAAAATTTTTTTTTACTTCAAAACTACATTTTTTCAAAAATAAGCACGTTGCACCGGTCAAACTTACAGATCATATAAACAATACATAAATAAAGTAAACTGTAAAGCGGTAACGCTTAATTACAATTGGGGTGCTAATTAGGGGGGTGATTTCTTCAATAAAAAAAAGGACCAACTTTATTTTGAGCGTAACTCACTTAGCTTTGATGCTAGGAACTTTTTTTAAAAACAAAAAGAAAGGTTTTTTCAAACACTTTAAAAAAGTATTCATAACTTTTCCCCGAAAAGTGCTTCATTTTTTGGTTATTTCACGTTGAAGTACTCGATTTGGAATTTGACGAATGAGAACCTACTTTTCATGAGCTACAACTTTGCTTCTACTGGGTCTACAGACTTCATATTAGACCATTTTGTTTGTTTTTTTATAAGCTATATTTTTTCTAAGAATACTTTTTTCGATACAATACTTACTTTTAGAGTAATTTGCGAAAAAACGTCTGAAAACGTGGTTTTTTTGGTTGAAAAATGAACATTTTCACTCGCAAATAACTCGAATACTATTGACTTAGTGGAACAACTCTATAGAACAAAAGTTGCTTAGAATTACTTAATTTATCAATTTTCGGACTTATTTTGAAAGTATCTTCCCCCCCCCCTCCCTTAGAAGGGGTGGCATTCACCCCCCAAGTAAAAGCAACCCTGGGCTCAAGTTCTACTTTGAAGTGGAGGGTAAGTAGAACCTAAATCCAAATTTTCATGCGATTCGGTGGAGACGCGGAAAATTCACAGTATCGCCGTATTCCACGTTCATTTACTGGCCTACTGGGTACGCATTCTGCATTACACCGGCTGAATCTCGCAGGCTCTTCAACAAAGTAAGCACTATTTCATATCATTTTAAAGGTAATAATGGGAGCTACAACTTTTGTTGGTAACATTTTTTGATAAAATGTCGGCGTGAAAATTTCTGCGACAAAAAGTTAAATTACGTGCCGAAAAATATACCACTTTTTACTTTTTCATACGAATTATAAACAAACGGTAACACTTTTCATGGTTAGGGGGGCACAGGGGGGGAAGCAAAAGGGGTAGAGGCGGGGACTTTTGGCTAAACACTTGTCTAAATGGTAGTAGTCGATGGGGAAAAAATTAGCTTTATACTATTTTTTTCCCACTAAAAACACAGGTTGACTGGACTAATAGGTTCTGGCAATCATATTAAAATTTACCCTGATTTACAAAAATACCGTTTCAAAAGTTTAGCTGACTCGCACTTAATTTGTGTAACGGAATGTATACTGATTTACTTACATAACCAATTCTAATTTAGTGGATTCTTGAGCCTATTGTTGCGTTGTAATGAAGACGTACACTATTATCTATATCTTTGGCTATTATATTACTGCACGTTTGGTTTTCATGGTAATTATGCAGGTTCCTGTATGGTCATGTGTTAACTTCTCTCCTCAGAAGCGTTTGTCACCTGAGCTCCGGGGAAAACAAATCGGGTTTTGTGTACCCTCTTTTTACCTTTTGCATTTTTATTGTATCTAGATCTTGAGAAATTTAAAAACGTGGACAAGACAAGTTGTCGGTACTAATGGGTCACAGTTCACAGTAAATATGTTCAGTCTTTTACAAAAAAAAAATAATTTGGCCTGACAGCACGACTTGATTAAAATTCGTTCATTTCACTTAAACTACCTCCTAGTTCTAACTCTTAGCGAATGAAAGCAATTGTCATTGCAATTACTGTCACACCTCATAGAATCATAACATAGATCAACGTACTGAGGCAGTCGTTAAGAATGACAACGACAACCGTGCCATAACCGTATAACTAAACCATTCGTGTAAGGGTACTATTCTTATCTAATATAATTATGGTAAAGGTGTCATTTAAAAAAGCTTTAACTGATCCTCCTCACAGGAATTCCGCAGGTCTCGTAAATTACGAAGGGGCACATGTAGCGGACGTCTCTTACCCTCTAATAAATTTCCAGTGTATTACAGGTTTTATGATTAACGATCATCGCGTGTGTTATTAACTGTCAATTGGAAAAGGCTGCCGATGCATCAATTTAGACACTGGGTGTTTATGACAATCTTTGCTGACGTTCAATTAAGTTATCAGCCTATGTTTTTGTTCCCTATACGTAAAGCCTTTACTCATTTAAACGTAAGCGATCACTTTTGTTGCGTGCACTTCGCGAATACGGAATACAAATTGTCTTGCAGTTGTCTTTCTCTAAAGGGTTTATTTATCTTAACAACGACTTTAATTTAGATTGTATTCTAACTGAATTCCATTGCGCATATAGATCCTTAAATAGGTCGCTGCTTAGAGACTAGATTGATTGTTTCCAATTTAATTACGACAGTATTTCAATCTCAAGACTCATTTGAGCTTTTGCGGACAAGTGCCTCCTGATCAGCAGCAGAACTAAAATCCAATAATCAAATTGAATAAATATTTTCAAACAAGGTCACTAAGGTAGTAATAGTGCCTATTAACCACTTAGAGAGCAAGGTAGCAGCGCTCGTCGACTTTGAAATTATTTCTGAAACTATGATCGCGTGCCGAAAATAACCACTCTTTTAAGGGTTGCATTCTATACATGCGATAGAGATCAATTTCACCAAGGTTAATTGCGAAGAAAATTTGTAAGCTGCCCTTTATACTCTGCGAAAAATATGTTGGCGAGAAAAAATAATTAAGTGCTCCGGTTCGAAAAGTTAATCAAACCTTTTACTTACTTTAAGTAGCTTACGTGATCATTGACGGTATACATTCACTCACATCTCGCGAACCGCTCAATAAAGTTTAAACAGATTTTTGCGTACTTTGCGCTCACTCATTTTTTTAAGCACAGTGTTCAATAATTAATAACTTAAAAAAGGGCAGTCGTGCAACCTTGGTGTCCGTAGACAGACTGGTTGGCGTCCTGGCGTTTTAACCCTCGGCATCGAGACGCTTGCGCTATCTCAATTTCGGAAATTCTGCCAAAATTACAGGAGGGTGATAGATTAAAAGAGTTTTTCATCGTACGTATCAATGAAATCCTACTTTCGAAATTAAGTTTCTCTAAACTGAACGATAAAGGTCAACCTCTTTCAAAATCAAAGATTCCAACTGTCAAAGGTATCTCGAGAGTCGCAACTATTCAGAAAGTGAAGTGCTCGTACTCTCTGAGTTTATAAGTGTCGTTTATTTCTATCATTTTCACCTTTATTGATTTCGCGCTTTATTGACTTTTACCTTTCACATTTACGGCCCATCTGGTTCATTTTCTTAAAGATTCTAGAACTGAGTGTATGATCGGAAATCGTTTAATGTGGAAAATGTGTCTTAAAACTGCACGAAAGTAGAAACTCATGTGAAAACTGCATTGCAATTGACTTTACCTTTTGCATTCAATAAGCAGTAAAGAATAGAACACGGAAATGAACTGGAAGAAGTTTGTCGATTTGCCAATTTTAAAAAGAACAAAAGAGTTTTACTTATTTGAATGTTTTCGGGAAAGGGCGACATCGAAGATTCGTCGTAAAATCCCATACACGCCAAATATTTATACTATAACTGCAAGAATGTGTAAATATGTAAATATCTGTGCATTTAATATTAAAGCTAAAGGTAAAATAAGAAGCCAAAAGCCACATAAAACGCATTATTGCAAGGAATTTGTTATCATGGGATGACCTTACTTCCATATAAGTTAAATGATCCGAGTGAAAAGGGAACGAGAGAAGAGCTTGGGAGAAGAGAAATGCCGTATTGCAAGCCCAAGCTACCCTTAAAAAATTACAAATCGTGCATTACAAATTTTACAAAACCAAGCGTTTAAGAAAAACAAAAGGTTATGTATTGACAGTTTTCCTAGTTTTTCTTTGACAATTCAACTCATGTATAAAAAATCGCATAAGCCGCAGTGCAATTGTCACTTTGACGGCGGCAAAAGTTACCTGCAACTTTTCCAGCGACAAATGCACGAGTGGTTTTTTCACTTATTCATTTTCGAACCAAATATCGTATTATCCTGTCCCATATGACTAGATGACGTCTGTCAATAATTGATTAGTTTGGTGAATTTCTTGTTCGTTAAATTGTCCTGCCGAATTACACTCGAGGTTTGTATTTAAACCGAGTAAAATTGTGTTGTTGCAATTCAAATCTGTTGCCTTTTAGCAATTGAACTCTAAAAACTGTCAACCTAAAAATGCTCCACCTTCGGTGTCGCATTTTTATTAGTTGACAGTTTTTCTCGTCTAATTGCTAGGCAACAGATTTTCGTTACCTTAACAACCCAAATTTACTCGGTAAAATACAAACCTCTTGTGCAATTATAAGTGAAAATTCATATTTTTTCCAAGTTGACACGTGAAAGGGATGCACAGTTAATATATCGCTATATTCGCGTAAAATTTAGAAGAGAGATAGTGAGAGGTTGGTAAAATTGGTAATAATGCGTGTTATCGCGTAGGAAGACAGCCGAATATTACCTGGAATTAGAAAGTAATGCAAACCCATTCGAAACACAAGTTTAACTTTATCGTCATTTTCATGCCTACTTTATGTCACTAGTTTCGATGACAGATGCAGTGAAACATTACCAGACTACTTTTCCTGCCGCCAGGTACCGGTAGTACCTGTCACTTTTCCAACCTCACCTGTCACATTGATAATCTCTATAATGACTCCCGTTATCAGTGACAGATTGACATTAATCCAAAGTTTTATATAAAAATTGAACTTTTATATGAAAGTACGATTTCTGGGAAAATTTAATACAAAAATCATCAGCAAAATGACACCACTTGACTAGGAAATTAAAGTAGTCAGCCCCAAGGAGTTCTTGTACTTCAATATTTCCACGATATTGATTTATATAAATAACTATAATCAAATGATATGGTATATTGGATTTTACCCGGAGATGTAACAGAATAGTGACTTTATTTTATACAATGTAAGTACCCATTTGATTCTTATTTCATTGTCTTTCAAGTTGCCAGAAGCCCAGAACTGCGGAAGAAGATGTACTACAGCTCAGGCACCAGAGTCCCATGAACACGACCACAGGGTTATTAACAACATCACGAGAAATTCATCGCCATCTGATACATCACTGGGATACCCTAGGCCACGACGGTGCACCATAAAACAAAGTCACGCCTTAGTTACGGCACTAAGGCCATGTCAATGATCTACAAACAAGGTTACTCTTCAGTTAGGGGGGGGGGGGGGGTAAAATATCCGTTGTTATGACAACCTGTGATAAATGTATACAAACAGTAAGAATGAAATTATTGCTATTAATATACAGGGTCCGGCAAAATGATCTCCCACATTTTGCACCGCCACTGTGCCAGAATCACTGAAGAGAGGGGGAGCTTAGTGTAGTCGGTTGGTAGCTCTGGCCTTGCCATTTCAGTTGTCAGTCATGAATTGGACGGGTGAGCATCGTGCCTTTGTTATTGAAACGTTTATGAAAAGTAACGAATCTGTGATTACGACGCAAAGAACATTTCGTACTCACTTCGCGCTTGGTAGACATGGTCCAGTTCCAGATCGCAAAACAATACTGTTGTGGGTTTAAAATTTTAGAGTTACAGGTTCAGCCTTAAAAAGAAAATCAACTGGTAGACCCAGAAGTGTCCGGACACCTGAAATTGAAATTGAGTGATGGAAACTTTCAGAAATCAGCTTCGAATGTGTATCGAAAAAAATGGTCGCCATTTGGACTCTGTAATTTTCAAAACTTAATAAAAACAAATGGCATAGCATACATTTTCAGTTAATAAAGACAAAATCTATATAACATTTACAATGGCGTTTTTATTACAGATTAAAATGTGGGAGATCATTTTGCCGGACCCTGTATAATGTCAATTAACCAGTTTTGTATAACTTAAGAGGATCGTTTAAACCAAAACGAGGCTACTAAGCCTAAGTGGTGCACCTAACATTGAGAATGTTCATTTGTGTGCCGCAATTATACCTTCTAGGAAACGTATTTTAGATAATTTATATATATTTTTGTGTCATGTGGACGTTGTTTTGGTGTACACACCAAAAATGATGAAGGGACACCCAGTGTATGAGACATATTTCCATTTATTAAGTGTAAATTAGTGGGGAGGGGTATTCACGAATAAACATAGAGTTGGTTTATTTTACTTGAATTTGTGTGATACTTCTCCTTTTGGTTTTGTTTGTAATTGCATAATTTTTGTTTAAATGGTATCATTTGTGTAGATTGACCGATTTAGATTAGACACGTTCGGCAAGAGACATCTGGTCAAGTTTGTGTATTTTTATAAACTATTTTGCGTTTTTGCGATGAGGAGTGTTATCGTATGTAATGTAACTAACGCACGTATGGGGGCGCGCGAACCGTTCCTTCAAAGCCGCCATTATCTAATCTAATTATGATTGGCGCATTAGTTGTAAATACTTTGATGAAAGTGGTGTTCCCTTAAATACGCGAGCCAAGGAAAAAAGGTGGCTGCAATTCTTATCTCGCGACGGTGAAAAGAGGGTGTACATTTGTTCACGACAAGAACCGGGCGTGTGGTTCTTTTTTAAATTGTGTTGAAGGTGCAGTTCGTCAGTTTCGAAATAAAGTATGTAAAAGAAGTTAGGCAGTCTTGATAAAAGATTTAAGTCATCCTCCAGTGAAGCTGTAAAGGTTTATGGAAAGTTTTTTTAAAGGGTTGGTCCGTATTCCGAACAGTTGGAACAAGTGGGAGTCACCAAGCAGTTGTCTGCTAAGTGAAAGTTAAAATTTTCTACCGTCAGAGCAGCCGCCGCTGTGTGTTTTTGGTAAGTGCATCTGATTATCGCAAACCACTCACCCACTCACGATTTGATTATTTGAATTATAAACAGAGAAAAAAACCGTCAGTTATTTTATACTTTCCATAATTCATAGTCAATCCATTAATTGTGTGTTTATTCGAACCCATTGTGCGACCTGGATAGTCTCTGTCAGATTTTTTTTGTATCCAAGGTTTATTTCAGGTATTTATCATTCGCGTAGTAAATTCTTGGACCCGTCGGGAGTTAATGGAGGCCACTGACTCTCAAGTTATTCATTTAAGTCAAATTTAAATTTTTATTTGTTTAAGCTAGATAGGCAGGTGTTTGGTGAGTGGTGTAGTTGACCACACGCCATTGTACGCAGCAATATAAAGTATAGGTTTTCTTAAAATAATCAATTTTGGAATTTAAATGGGATGCGGATTTACATTTCATCCGAAAATGAGTTAGCAAGCAACTCCGGTGATTTTCTGAATGACAATTGAGAAATACAGAACTGATATACCAACTTTAATTAGGAGTCTACTGTACAAGAGTAAAGTGGCAACATCTACATGAATGGCCACACAATATGTCAAAGGTTGCAATTCAGAAGGCAGCGTGAACTAAACGTTGACCGCATCTCATTAACATCAATAATAGAGCTTGTTCTCATTTCGCCACTATGTGCGCAACAACGGCGAAAATACCACTAGGGAGACAAAAACATCGGCCGGAATCGCTGGAAACATCAGGAAATATGAAATGCTATTGATTTCGTACAGTTTATTGGGTTTGTTCAACGAGCCGGAGTTTTCTGAAATTTGAAATGAAATTGCCATTCATTGCGACTTTTAGAGGTGCAACGTAACGTAAACATTATTTCTATTACGAGTGTATATTGTGACCGGCTTCCAGCGTTAAATTACAAAGGCAACTCTTGACTGCTGCCGTACAATAATATAGCGTCGTTCCAATTTATTTAGTTTAGATATCCAATATGAAGAAAGCAATGGTCATATTTCACTTGGGTCAAAGGACGCCTAAACTAAAACTACAAAAAGTTCTAGTTCTTTCAGATCCTTCGAATGTTGTCTCTTAGCGAGGCAAAAGATAC